AACAGGTCTTCTATCCCAAATGCTTACATTTTGAGCTTCTCAAACTCTCATGTGCAAATAAATCATTCACAGAATTTTTTAAAATGCATACTCTGATTTGGTTGGTCTAAAATCAAGACTTTCATCTCAAGTTGTTACCATACTGTTGGCCCTGAGACTACACTGTGAGTAACAAAGATCTCATATGGTGCCTCTAACAGGTACTCTAGCTTCCAAGCTGATCCAATTTAACACAATATTAAATAGTGCCTTACAAGTATTTTTTGTTCCTTCTAGTTGTGTGAATAAGACTAAATGTCTTGGGACCAGCAGTGAGCGTAATGGCTATGTCACTGGACTCCCACATAGTCGACAGCGGTTCATGTCCCAGACCCGGTGGCTTAAAACTCACGCCGGGCATGTGTGCGTGTGTGCCCAAGATCCCGAGAGGAGAATGGAGGGTAGATTCATTCCAAGGTACTTTGCCAAGTAGGTGGCTCACTTAGACTGGAGATAATGGAGGTGGTGATTCTTAAGGCAGAGACAATATATCATTAGCACATTCCAAAGGCAAGAGGACAATGTGAAACCTTTGCCTTTACATCCCCAAGAATCCTTTTGTGAAAAGAAATTTTACAATATTACAGAGAATTAAAAAGAACATACATATTATCATGGAACAACATCTGTGATATGCTGCCAAGTGGGAAAAAAAATACACATATAGTGTGAACCCAATCATACCAACAAGAGACACATTTAAATGCTTGGATGTGCATTTAAAAATATGGGAGGGGGCCAATAGGTAGTATGGTGGTATGGTGGTTAAACCACCGGATTCCCAAATAGCTGACCAGGGGACTTGAAATCAAGCTGGGGGGACTAGCAGTTAGCATAATGGCTATGTCACTGGACTCCCATGTAGCCGACCGCAGTTCGCGTCCCAGATCCGGTGGCTTAAAACTCATGCCGGGCACGTGTGCGTGCGTGCCCAAGATCCCAAGAGGAGAGTGGAGGAGAAGGGATTGCGGCATGACCATCCCCCCTGGGGGGTGATTTCTCGCTTTCTATCTCTCTGTCTCTTTCTGTCTGTCTGGCAAGCGCACGGGCCCAATAGCAAAAACCTCTAAAAAAAAAAAGAAAATCAAGCTGGGAATGTGTGCATACGTGCCCCAAATCCTAAGAGAATGAAGAAGGTATTGCTGTTTGGGCATATCATCTGGGGGGGTGGTTTCTCACTTTCCCTCTCTCCATTCCTCTCTGATGAGCAAATGTACCCTACAGCAAATACAAATATATGTATGTGTGTGTGTATATACATATATGGGTGTGTGTATATATATCTATACACATATACATGTGTGTATACACATACACACACACACACATATATGGCAAAAGTAATACTTGTTTTTAGGAAACAGGACTGGAATAAAAGGAGGGCTTTGTTCATTATCTATGCCACTTGAAGATGTTTTCACAAATACAAGGAGACTTTAAAAGTTCATGGAAAAACAGCATTAAAGTATCTGTTTATTTCGGGGCAAAAAATTTTGAAATTTAAGCACAGACTTCATAATGCATATTTCCACGAACACTTAGAAAACGCCTCATACATGTGTAACTTTTATACTTTCTTAAACCAGATAATAAAAAGCAACAGCTTGTGGCAAGTCCACAAGCTAAGAAAAGTTTTTACATTTTTATATCGTTGACAAAAAAAAAGATTTTAAAAAATAGTATTTTGTAACAATGTAAAAATCATATGCAAAAGTAAAATTTCATTGTCTTGAGTAAGACTTCACTGGAACACAGCTACAATCATTAGTTTAAGTATTGTCTATGGCTGCTTTCATGGTACAATGGCAGAGCTGAACTGCTGCAACAGAGACACGCTCCCAAAGCCCACAATATTTACTATCCTCTTAGTTAGTAACAAACTTTTCCTGTGTAGTGGGTCTGAAGACTTAATGATCTTTTGGGTTTTTTTAGTTTTTCTGCTACAGAGCACATGCCATTGCCAGAGAGAAAGAGAGAAGGAAAGTGAGAACTCAGTCCAGGGGGCAATGGTCATGCCACCTCTTGGGATTTGGGGCACACACATACAAGTGCTGGTGTTTTTCCAAGCTGCCAAGTCTGGCACTTGAACCATGCAGTCGGTCATGTGGGATCTAGCTGCCTTAACAGCCTTTTCACCTGTTGGCCCTGAGACTGCAGGATTTTCTGGTATTTGTAGCTGAATACAACTCCATACTTCAGTTAAAGCTCACACATGGTTGTGGCACCACAATTCCACCCAACAGAGTAAGAGCCACAAAAATGTAACAGCTATTTTTCTAAGATGTTTTGACCCATCTTACTTTGAGAATAGAACTTTGCAAGTGAAGTATGTGACCGGAAATGCCAACCCAAACTTGTGAGCAGTGACACTGTTATGCAAAATTAATGAATACTCACTTTGTAAACAGCAAAATACATGCAAGTATATACATTTTATTTTAAATAACTATAATTTAGCAGGAACCAGCAGTTAGCGTAATGGCTATGTCACTGAACTCCCACGTAGTTGACCGCGGTTTGCATCCCAGACCCGGTGGCTTAAACTCACCCTGGGTGCTTGTGTATGCGTGCCCAAGATCCCGAGAGGAGAATGGAGGAGAAGAGATTGTGGCGTGACCATCCCCTCTAGGGGGTGATTTCTCGCTTTCTGTCTCTCTGTCTCTCTCTGTCTGTCTGTCGGGTGAGCGCACCCCCTATAGAAAAAAAAAAAAAAAAATCTCAAAAAAAATAAAATAAAATAACTATAATTTAGCTTAATGCAGTTGATTTCAGAACATGCTAAGAACCTCAAGAAGTTACTAAACTACTTTTGTTTTCAAATAACTTACGATTTACCTTAATAAGTGTTTAGATTATTCCAAAGGACATGTGGAAATATAGCAATACCTGCTCCAGGAGACAGTTACATAGACAAGAGAAAGAAGTATGAAGGAACTATTTCATTTATTATTTTCTTATAACTTTAGAACTTGTGTCAAATTTATTTTCTTTAGAGAATTATTTTATCTAATTTTATTTATTTATTATTTTTAATTTGACCAGAAAGAGTGAGAGAAAGAAAGAGAAACCAAGTCATCAGGTCCCAGTCTTGAATGGCAGCCAATCATGTGAGAGTTCAGCACCCTACCATCACACCACCTACTGGCCCCAGAATTTGTGTCATGTTAATGTATACTTACACAAAAATAATAGATTAAAATATTAAAACAAGACAATTGCACATTACCTTAAAATAAAGTTACAAAGCATAATCTATCCTACTTTGTCAAGCCAACTTTAGAAGGAATTCTGATATCAATATCTTGATAAATTCAGGTTCTGTCAAATCAGCATAAGGAACAGAAAGCATATTTTTAGAAACACCTGAAGCAGCCAGATAGTAGAATGGCCTTCCTCCCCATCCAAAGCTCTTAGTGTTTACTACTCAAGAGTCACACAATCTGTAATGTTCTGTGACACCTACCTCCTAGAGGGGTATTACAACAAAACTCTTAAATGATCTGGAATTACTTGCTGCAGAAATGCACTATTCTAAAAATTTTTTTATCTAAGTATTCGAATGAGTTTTCCACCTTTTAGAAGAGAAAAATGTATCCCTAAATTTCATTCTGACAAGCCAACAAATCCTCATTTGTAATGAAACTCTCAGGGTAAGGCAAAGGTCATATCAGAAACAAATAACAATGTAACAAGAAACATTACTAAAATTGAATGGAACTTATCAGACTTCTCAGTCTATTAAGATCTTTAAAGGGTTGCTCCCTGAAAGCTGTCCTTATTAAAAGCCATCCTGTACATGTCCAGATCCCAAGTAGAAAGCCCAGAGGTGACACAAAGGCCTGAACTGCAGCAGGGCCCTTTCAAACTGGCTGAACACTCAGAATATAAAGACCAAGTCAAAGTTCTAAAATTTTTCTAGGGGAGGGTAATACGGTCTTTTTTGTTTCAAAAATTCTCTCCTGGCACAAGCAAGAGACCTCAGGCTTCCAAAGAGTGAAAATATGTCAGTAGGACAAGAACTCTTGCTAGCACTCCTGAGATGTCCATTGGGTCTGCAGACAACCAACGTTCTATCAAGACCGACTGCGATTCCATGAAATGTAATACCTCATTCAACCCACCTCAGTTGGCCTCTCTGTCAGCACTGTGTTTTATTTACAAGAGAAAATAGGCAATAAACTTCACTCAATACTTTCTAATGTTTAAGTCAATTTTATAATTTCTTGCTTGTGAATAATCACTAAGTAGCTCACCACTTACTGCACAACCACAACAAATACATGCAGCCCAAGCTGAGCTTAGATAAGAGGGTTTCTTAGACGATGCTTAAAACCTTGTTAGTACCACTGCGATCATGAACTAAATGAAATGTCTTTTGAGAACGCAGGAAAGTCCCAAGTCACAGGATGTTTTAAGTGCCACTTAGAAAAAGTATCTCCTATTGGACGCGTCCTCACTCCCCCGCCCCCCCCAACCCCCCCTGCCGAGACGTCCTAAAAGCATTATGTCATCCACTATCCCCACATCTCTCCAGCTCCAATTCCAGGCTCCTCTGGAGGAGCCTGCGCCCCCAGCTTTCCTCCCTTTCTGGGCGAACAGGGAAGGGAAATGGTCTCGACTCCTCCAAGTTATCTCCACAACAGTTAAGAGCACCCTCCGCCACGGTTTCTTGTAAATAAAAGGAAACAAGTTCTCTCCCTAACTCTTCGCATCTCGGGAAGGGCAAAAAACTGGGGCCGTGGTTCCGCTCGGTGAATTCAGGACAAGAGCCAACGAGGCCATGCCTCCCCTCGTAAGGACAGTGGAGACCCAGGCGAGAGGGCGGCCAAGGTGTCTCCTCCCAGGTCGGGAGTTGCTGGGTCCCCTGTGCCTGCGGTGCCGGGGGCTCGCGTTGCTGGCCGCAGGCTGTGAGGTCGCCAGGGGCCCTCCCGGACAGGGAGCTGCGACGAGCCTAAACTCACGGTCGGTGCAGTGGCTCCTCAGCCACGGACGGGCCGGGCGGCGGTGGCGGGGGTGGCGGCCTCCCGCCCCGCAGGACAGCCCCCAGAGGCCTCAGACCGGCTCCTGGCGACACGGCACAGCTCAGCAGCTGGGCAATGAATGGAGCTCCGCGCCGCGGGCAAAAGCGGAACCGAGGCGCACAGCCATCTTGGATCCCTCCCGGCAGCCCACACGGAGCCCTGCGTGTAGCGTCGCTCCCCGGCGGAGGCGGGGCCACGCCTGACTGGCAGAATTGACAACCCGAGGTGGAGGCCTCTACCAATGGCCAGTCGAGGCGTCGACCCGCCCTCCACACCCGCACCTTCGCCTCACAGACCCGCCGTGGATGCCGCCATCGCAGA